ATCAGAAACCGTGAGATTCTACATTGTCAAACTGCAAATAGTTAGTTGAGATGATTCTATCGAAGGAATGTAGATGTCCAACTAAGAACTTCAAAGGAAATTCTCATATCAATTTTATAATAGCTTAGTTTCCATTACCAACAATTCATTTCTTAGCAGATTGAACCTAATCGTTTCCATTTATACAACTGCTGAATGGTTAGCAATTTATTTACATATGAAGAGCACACACACACACACACACACAATGAGATCACAGCCAATACAAACAACCATTTATGCATTAACTAAATAATTTAGTATAAAGCTGGTTCTGCTAAAAATTCCACCAATTCACATAACAAACATTGGACGACGTTGCAATTCGCACCCCCAATACGAATCTCACGCTAGCAAACAAATCTATGTACACGAACACGTTTGGCACTTTTTTAACAAATCTCTGTTCATCTTCGATAACGACACAACTCTGTCAGCCATGGATTGAATCGACTGGAATTTGTAACACATACCGAAAGCAGCGGCGGCAGCGGTGAACGCGTTGCGGAATAGCCGGACGGGTACGGCGGTGGAGAGCTTGACGGCGGAGGCGGCGTCTTCGGAGTTGGAGATCGCCGCCGCTCCAGCGCCGGCGCCGGCGGCGGCAGTGGCCGTCAAAAATAGTTTGGATTTGGCGCGCCACAGGTATCGGGCCGCCATTTTCTCTCCTCCTCCGATTTGCCTTGGATTTATGTTTTTTCTTTTTCCTTTTTCTTATTATCGGGCCAAAATATTGGTTAGGCGCATCATATTAGCTGCCTTCATTTTGCGTCAATAAAAGGCACGCAAAAAATTAATGCCACCAGACTTTGTTCATCGCCGTCCATATTTAAATTTATGTTCGTTCAATATTGCAGACTCAATTTTGAGATGGGGTTTTACAAATTACAATGTAATAATAAACACTTTTTTGTTAACTAAAGAAAAAAAAATTAATAATAATAATAATAATAAGTAACTAAATGAAAAAAAATATGATGAGTTACTAGTCGTTTGTAATATTATAATTCATTTGTTATTTTATCAAACTAAATATTATAATTCATTTGTTATTTTATCTAAGTTTGATAGATGGAACTAGAGATATTATCCGAGTCGAGCATAGTTGGCGCTCTGGGTTTGAGCCGCGCTAGTTTAATTAACGAGTTAAAGATTCAACTCAAATTTGACCAGTCTAATAAAAAAAAAAGTATACGAGTTGCTCACTAATAGGGTTGTTATTCGAACAGAACGTTCGCGAACAAAGCTCGTTCGAGTTTGTTCGTGTTCGATAACAGCTCGTTTGTTAAGCATTCGAACCGAACACGAACATAAAATTACGCTTGTTTAGTTATCGAACGAACACGAACATGTTCGCGAACTAAACGAGCGTTCGTGAACAAAAAAAATATTTTATAATTTTATATATTATAGTATATACATGTGTAATATAATATATTAATATATAACATGAATATATATTAAATATTAAATAGAATAAAAATATTTTATAATTTTATATATTATATATAGTATATACATATATAATATAATATATAAAATAAATATGAACATATATTAATTATTAAATAAAATAACTTGTATGGCATTAAAATAAAATAAAAAAAAGTTAACAAACACGAACACGAACATGTCGAACAATTTGAACAGTTCACGAACAAGTTCGACTAGATAAACGAACGAACACGAACGTTTCGAACCAATAAACGAACGAACACGAATGAAATTTTTTGTTCGTTTACTAAACCAACGAACACGAACATGTTCGAAAATTAGTCGAACTCGAGCTCAAAAACCTTAAACTCGGTTTGGTTCAGTTCGATAACAACCCTATTCACGAATATAATTTCTCCATTCGCAGACATGTTCAATTTAGTTGTTTATGTGAAATTTATAAAAAGAAAAAATAAAATTAGTAATAAAGAATTATAAACATGTTCGGTTTGGTTGTAGTTGCTTGTGATTTTAAGAATCATAGTGTATTTAACATGAGTTTGTTAATATTTTCGAAAGTCTTGGGGTGTTTTAAAAAGTTTTAAAAGTTATTCAATTTATTTATCACTTGAATTTGTCCGAAAAATAGACTTATTGAGATTTTACAAACAAAAACTATATGTGAAATCTACCGCCAATCACACCTCCATACATAACATTTTGAATGATTCCTCTTAAATTTGAAGTTTTAAGTCTTATTCTCTAATGTGACTCCAAATTCCAAGTATATACATATAAAATTTCCACATAATATTGTGGCCATTTGGTATGTATTTGGGCCAATCGGGTCCGAAGTTTTTGTATCCAAAATGTCGAACTTTACACTTTACACGTTCCTAAAGCAATTGTTTATTGGGCGTATCACAAGATAGGAATAGGCCGTGATTTGGGCCAACTTTATGTGAACATAATGAACTCCAAGAGCACAATTCAATACGAGTAAAAAAATCATTCCCCCCGACCAGATATTATATATACTATATATAAATTCATTTAATTATTTCTCTCCTCGAATTTTAATATAACTTTTAAATTAAAAAAATCAACAAGTACTATATTTTTTTCTACAAAATAATTATTAACCATTATTCAGGTTTGGAGGAGCAATATTTCTTTAATCTCTATTGGGATGCTCCCTGATTTGGACCTTATCGCACTAGTAAAGGAAAATAGAATCCATATATTGAGTCCGATTTTAGTGCGTTACAATTAATTATTATTTTTTATATCACATCATTTCCAATATTTTCTATCTAAATCTTATTTAAAAAATAATCCCCAACAACACAAGACTATCTTCAGTCACAACTTTGTTTATTCCTCCAAGTTAGAGACACTGATTGCAACTCAAATTACGTGTCTTTGCTCCAAACTTTTATTTTTTTTCTTGAAAGAAAAACGAACAGAAATCTGTATAGTCAGTCCTAAAAATAGGTTTGAAAGGCCCAAAGAAAAGTAAGGTGACATCATCACCCCCAATAATTATATTTCAGAAAATCAATAATTAAATTGACAGCGTGGGGTCCACGTGTCCATCGCGTTGTAATAAGGATCTTGCATCTCCGTGTACACAGCGCGTACGTGGATATTGAGGATTTTTATTTTACGTACCTTTAATTCAATCACAAGAAAAGGATTGATTCTTGTTTCTATCCAAATGTACATTTAATCTCATTTCAAATGGATCTTACACTTAACATGTGTTGGGTCCATAGGAAGTTAGTTAGTTAGTTGTACGTGGAGGATTTGCACTTCGACCCAAAACCTAAGCTTATTATCACTTCAAACCCAAAGGCAAAATTTGAGATGAGGTTTTTCGGTTGATGTTTGGTTATGTAAATGATTATAGGAAGTCAAAATCTGAATGGCCATTGGTCACCTTAACTTCCAGAAATATTTGACCACTATGAATAATTTTAAGAAAACAATTTTGAAACGATTGACAATGTTGACTTAAAAATCAAAACATGTGGGAATCCTTTTGTGAATTTCTCAGAAATTTCGTCTAACTTCGATGTGGCTTCACATTTTTATCGGCTTTCAATTGCAAATACGCTGAATTTATAAGTTACTATATTTGCAGCCAAATTCGCTATTTGCTATCCCTAATTAGTGGTGTCTGAATCACTCTACCAACAAATAAAAATCATAACATCAATTTCAAAGTGATATATGACGTAATTTGAACAAGCAGATAAAATTATATAGTGGGGAGAATATTCTTACATGCCATGATTTATGTTTTCAATAAATATGTGTATCTATATATATAAAAAAAAAGGAAAATATCATACCGTTTAATAAAAATATGTGCTTCGTTTTGAAAAGAATCAATATATATATATAAAAAGGTTTGATTATTTTTTAAACAGTAACTATTTCTCTATAAAAAATGTATTTACTATTTTGGGAAATTAATTTAGCAATTTATGGTATATTTAAATAACCAGTTATGGAAATTGCGGCTCATTATTTAAGGAAGTAATTAAGCCATATAAAAATACATTTTAAAAATACCTTAACTACTCAAATTAATTTAACAATTTATGGTATATGGCAAATAATCACTCATGGTAAATTCATTTTTAAGATACCTTAATTACTCAAATCATGTGAATTGATTGATTTACCCAAATATGAGAATTTCTGCTACAATATTAATTATGTGATTTGGTAAAAAAAATTCCAACTAAATTGTTTAATTTATTATTTTTTAAGTGTTTTATATTTTTAGTGCAAATCTTTTGTGAAATACATTTTTAATATACCTTAGTTACATAAATCCGACTGATTTATTCAATCTGTAAATAATTACTACAATTATAGAAATATCGATAATAGTAATTAATTATGCAGTTTGCAAAAAACAGTTCTAAAAAATTGTGTTAATGATAATTGTTATTTAAATATTATTTAATAAATATTATTAATTTTTTGTGTATTTAATTGTTAAAATCGTGAATAATTAAGAAAATAATTAGACCATAAAAATTTACATTTGTAATATTAGACCATAAAAATTTACATTTGCACTGTATAGGTCGTGTACTAATTTTAAATAGACATGTTTTATATATTTTTGAACAATTTAAATTTCATATGACATTTTCAACAAATTAATACAGTAAAATTATATTATATATTGATTCTATATTTCTAATTTAATAAATATTATTTTATGAGTATTTATAATTTATAAATATTAATAAGTATTTCTTGCACGGGATTCGTACTAATAATGAGTGAAAAATATATGATGAGTTAATTCATCAAACTAATTAACCTTGACCCATTACAGCAATTAATAATAATTCGAGAGAATTTTCAGTGGCATATTGTGTCCACAATGATAAATGGGTGAGAACTCAGAAGGTAGAAAAAATAAATAATTTCATCTCTATTGTTGGTTTGGATTATGGAAAAAATATGGGATATATATGTCATTTGGGACTCCAAAGCATGTTTGTTTGTTTTTTCTTTTTTTAAGACCAGAAAACATGTATGAACATGAACCCAAGAAAAAATAGACAATTGACCTCCACAAAACCTGACAAACTTTCGAAGTTTGGATTTTCGGTTTAATAGAAAATAGCAGTTAGCCAAATAAAATAATATAACTCGACAAAATAAAAAAGGCATGAAATTTGGGGCCGATTTGTATAAGCTGGGATCATGTGCTCACACATGGCTGCGTCTCGGGTCGGTTCCACCATACCCGCTTGATTGATTAGAAACTTCTATTACCATATATATATTCATTTTTTTTTTCTGGAAATTAAATATTTTATTACTCTATCATTTTCTATTTGAATCCACCATTATCTGAAAATTGTTTTAATTAAACAACTAATCCCGGCTTGACATAGTTTATTATGGTGCGCTTGGTAAATTTGCCGAGAAAATTAGTTGATAGTATATAAGTGATTTCAAGTTTATGACTTATAGTTCTAAAGTTATTTGATATGATAAAAAATGTTTAGTAGAATTAGCTGATAAATCAGTTGAGATAAAAAAAAAAAAAAAAAAAAAAAAAAAAAAAAATTGAACCTTCTTTTTTAAGTTACATAATGAAACTTATGAGATAAGTTCCAAATTATTTATAAAGTTCATCCCACCACACAAAGTTACTTAAATAAAAAATATATATAATTATATATATGGTAACTATATGAGTTATAATGTGGCTTATATTGTTTACCAAACATGCTATAACCATTGATCTGTTTGTCACTGTATTTTAAAGCATGTAAAAAAATAATATATTTTTGTGTAAGATATTTTAATTGTTAAACGGTTCCACCAATTATACATTTGCAATAAAATTCATATTTACATTATGAAATTTCATAGTTTTGTTTATATTGTTTTTCGGATAGTATAACATATATATATACTTATTCAAAAAGTACAAATGACCTATCCGTTTAATGATTAGGTGCCCCACAAAACGACTTCTCAATATATTTTATTTGTTGATTTTTCATGTGCAGTTAATTGCGAGTGTTTCTTTGTAATAAATATAGATACAGAATTTGATTCTCTACTTGAATAAGCGGGTGGAAATTTGACACAGAAGCACTTAGCTAAGATTAATTAAAGATTAACTGAAAATTGAGGTTATAATATTAAGCAACAAAAGGTAGCTTAGTACCGAAATTATGCGGACGAATATATATATATGCATTCAGACCTAAATCATTGGTGATTAAAAATTAAATCAATGTGTAATTTGGGCCGAAAACCACTTGCCTCTTATTGAGAACAAAAATTAAAGAGACTTTTAGACATATAAAAATAATGTGTTGTGTATTCATACAGATTCGTTTTTATATTTTTATAATTTGAGATGCGCCTAACATCGAGAATTTGGATTGTCCAAAGTAGACTTCACATATGAGTACATGCATTATTTAAAAAATATTTTATAAGTTATTGTTTATTCTATCGATTTTGATAAATATATTTTAATTTATTATTATAATATAAACAATGTATAAAATTAGTTTTAATAAATATCAATTAATTAAAATTCAATAATAATGTAAACATATTAAAATTAAGTGCAAGACTTTTAATTTTTTATTTATTTTAAAAAAAATTATGAAAATATAAAAACCCATCTTTTTAAGTGCATGTTTGGATACAATTTTTTTTTTTAATTTTTATTTTAAATCAATCTCAATATCATACTCAACTCAACATTAACTCAACTTCATTATGCTCAACATTATCGATATAATTAAATAATATCAACAATTGTCTTTACATATCATATAAACATTAATTCAATGTTCACTGATTCACATAGTTTTACCTACACATTACTTTCAATCACATATTCTAATTTACATCAAATCAACTATAATATTTTATTTTAAATATTATTTTAATATAAACTAAAAATTTCACTCAAATTAACCCAACCTACTTTTCAAAACTAATCATGGTTAAAAAAATCAATCAAAAAATAAATCCTTATAAACAAGCAAGCCCTAAATTCGGTATTTTAACTTATATTTTGGTCTGTAATTTTTGGTAAAATCATATTTTGGCAAAAGTGGTGTTTACGCAACATTATTTAAACACATGGAGTAGAAGTGTTAAACGAAATGAGCCGCTCATGAGTTCAGCTAGGCTCGCCTCGTTAATTTTCGAAAATGAAGATTTTTTATAATCATGCTCGTTAATATTGATTAGCGAGCCAATCTTGATTACAAAATCGTTTATCTAACAAGCGTCTCAGCTCGTTATAGGCTCGAACTCAAGCTCGATTCGTGGTTTTTACACCCCAGTAGGTGTGAGCATCGGTGCGGTTCGGCAGCAAAAAAATCGAAAAGCGAAAATCTAAAATTTGCATACCGAACTGCACCACAAGAAAATAAAAAACCGAACTGATTTTCGCTTTAGTTCGGTTCAGTTGGATTTTTCGGTTAATCGCAATTAAAAAAATATAAAAACATAAATCAAAGTTCAAACCATTCAAATTAAACCTTAAGCCAAACACAAATCAAAGTTCGCTATATTGTTCTCTTTTTAAAAACTTTAAAGTTAATTAATTATAAATTATAAGACATTAAGGGCATGTTTGTATACAAAAAAAATTCCCTCAAATGGTATTTTTTTATTAACTAAAGTTTATTTGGAAAAAGATAGTATGGTTAGTTGTTAGTGAAATTTTGAATTTATATTAAAATAATATTTAAAGTAAAATAATTAAAGTTGATTTGATGTGAAAGTAGGAGGGAGATAATATGAAGTGATGGTTAGTTATGTGAGTGGATTAATAGTAAATTAAAGTATATGTAATGTGTAAGAATAATTAGATGATATTATTAATTTATATTGATAATATTGAAGATATTGAAGTTGAGTTAAAGTTGAGTTAGATTTTGAGTTGAATGAAATTTGAGTGAAAATTTTTGTATACAAACTTGCTCTAAGAATTTAAGGTAATATACTAGTAACTTTATTTGAAACATCAAAGTTTCGGTGTTGTTCGGTTAAACAACAACCTTCATACTCAAAATCGAACTGAACCAAATTTGTTACAGTTTTCTAAAATTCAAATTGCACAGCAAATTGAATCTTTTAAAAACTGAACTGCACCACACTGAATACATCGGTTCGATTCTATTTACCCCTACACCCAGGTCCCACCTACCAGCCACATATGTAAAAATTACGGTTAAGGCCATCTCCAGCCCTTATCTCTACTCTAGCGCGGACTTTACTCTACTCTAGAGTAGAGTTGAACATTCATCTCCAGCCCTTATCTCTACATTTTACTCTACATTAAATATATTATTTTTTTATTCATTTTTTATTTCAAATAAATTGGTATATATGTATATTTAATCTTATATAAAATGTTAATTACTCAAATAATAAAAATATATTTTATTTATTTTTATTTCGATAATTTGCTATATATATAGCTGTAATAAATTGAATTTCTTAAAGAAGATACATATACATCTATGTACCGATTGAATCAAAACTGTTACTTTTGAAAATATATGAATTAGTGCAAATTTACACACTATACCATATATGGTTTAGACCATATATGAATTAGTGCAAATTTACACACTAGATCATATATGGTTTAGATCATATCTTGTGCAAATTTTATTATGTATATATATGATCTTAGCCATTGATCTTTAGATAAGAATCCTACGGTTGATTCAAATTTATTATCTTTTTTATTCATTTTTATTTCAAATAAATTCTAATATATGTATATTTCATCTTATATTCATTTTTGGTGGTATTTTAATATTAAAAAATTACAAAATAAAATTAATATACATCAATTTTAATAGTAAAAAAATGCAAAATTAAATTTATTACACATCAATAAATAAAAAGCACAAAGTTATTTAACATAATAAATACATTTATTACATATTATAGAAACAATTACCAATAATATATATATATATATGTATATATATATATATATATAAAGGAAATGATAAAAAAAAGGAAGATCTAGCGCAACAGCAACAGTATTGCGCCAGATGTGGAGATATACTGTAGATATCTTTGTTGTGACGCAAAATTGTAGAGATGCACTGGAGGAATTTCGCTGCGCAACTCTAGAGTAAAACTCTAATATGGCGTTGCATTGGACATGGTCTAAGAAATGTCACATTTTACCATTTTCCTCAAACAATTCATTATTATAATCAACAATAATTATTTATCTTTTTTTGTTTAAAAAAAAAAAGATTACAGAAAGTGGGGAAAAGAAAATTTGACCAAGCCTCCCCTATTTGACCTCCAATACCTTCCGCGTATACATTTCCCAACTCCTCTCCCCAAAACCTCATTTTCACTTTTTCTCCCCCAAAAAAAATCAATCCTTTCAAATCTCCACATTTATTTATTCATTCATTCATCACTATTCCCTCTCTATATCCGCCATACACACACAAAACACGCACTCACAGAGAAAAAAATCCAACGAAGAAGAAGATCAGAGAAGCTTTTCCGGCGGAGATAAATGGGAATCCTCTTCAAGGAAGACAAATCTCCGACCAAGAGACCGGTGGTAGTGGTCGTCGTCCCGAGATGGATTAAGGCCCTGTTTTTCCTAATCACCATGCTCATCTCTCTGCTCCTGTTCTCCGCCCCGGTCCTGCTAGTCATCGCAGACGCGCTCCTCCCTTCTGCCTTCATGTCCGCCGCGCTCCGGCCGCCGCCGCTCGGCCTGCGCGCGATTTCTGACCAGCTCAGCAGCTACGACTTCCGGAGCTCGCTCATAGACATCCCGATCATCTCCGTGATACGCTCCGCGATCATACTGTGTGAGTATTCTTATCATAGACGAGCTGAAAATTAGGGATTCGGGCTCTTAATTTTTTTCCCCCAAATTTTGCAATTGAGAATCGCATTCGCATCGACTAACTAACGCGTTCTTTGTGAATTAATTTGGGGATTATCCAGGTGTTTACAGCTTTTGCGACGGGCCGAGGCTGTCGAACGGGCCGTACCTGGGCGTCGCCACCGCGTGCTCGGCGGCGTCGCTGGTGTTCGTGTCGCTGAAAGCTTCGTACGTGTTCGTGAGCGGCGGCGGTTATTGGGAATCAAGCGGGTACGTGAGGGCGATGGTGGTGGCGATGTTTTTGTCGTCGCTGGGGCTGGCGGTTGGGCACGTGGTGGTGGCCTACCGGACTAGCTGTAGAGAGAGGAGAAAGCTTCTCGTCTACAAAATTGACATTGAAGCTGTAAGTCAATTTAATTTAAAACTTAAAACGAAAATAAAAAATAAATTTTAGCTAACGTTTAGCTACTTCGTTTGAATTTAATGGTTAAAATTAGGTTTGGGCTTTGATTAGATTACTTTTGATATCTGTTACAGTCTGGCTCCACTGTCATTCCAAAACATAGTTAAAATGTTATTTTTCAAAAAACGTGAAAATTATTACTAATTCAGCTATTGGTTTAATATTCTCAATCATTATATTTAATTAATTTATTTCTTATTTAGACTTTAACTATATTTAGCTATGGAGGCTAGCCTTTTTTATTAGTTAATTCAATTATAATTCAATAGGCACATATTGTTTATTTATTTATTTAAATTTATGTCATAGCTTAAAAGGTATGGGTAGTGTTTT